ACACACACACACACACACACACACACACACACACACACACACACCTCTACTATGTGAACCCACAAAGGCAGGGAAATAAGTGTGAGCCCACTTGTTGTTATGAAGCAGGCATCGGTGTTGTTTTAGCTGCCAGGGGACATGTGATTTGCTCAGCCAAGGGTATGTTAAAGTGAGAGCATTAAGAATGTATGCAGGGTTTGCATAAAACCATCAAATGAACCCAAATGGACAACATTAAGGAGAAATGCTGCACATTCATGGACATGAATGGAATTGAAAGTTGCATGTTCTATTAAGACTCAGAGGGAGAATCTGATATAAGACAAAGACTGCAAAACTCTGCAGCCAATAGAGGACAACATGCAACTAAGAAACAAACAGCACTAATCATTAAATGTGGTTATCTACTATTGATGACATGTACAATCAGTGCAGTGAAGTACTCTTGAGTTCTGTAAACATTTTCACAGACTTTGTCATAACCTTTTAAATAATCTTTTAAAAGTGTTATCTCACCCAGTGCATAGGCTGGGTGAGATGATAACATAGTCTAGTTTGTACTTAAAAATCAATAACAGTGTGTTATTAGAGGCCAAGAAAGTGGCATTTTGTTATATTATGTGTTTGTATGTAGAAATACACAGCAAAGACTTGTTTTGGAGCATGGAGCTAACAGGTTTTCAGCCAACGGCGCGTTCCCATGTTTGTTGCCAAAGCACAATTTCATGTAACCAACTGTGTTATCTTTGTGATTTTTCATGGGTTCAAGCTAAAATAAATTGAAACTGTTTTCTTCACAGGTTGATAATAAAAAAGGCATTGTGAAATTTCCTGTCATTTGGACACTAAGCATTGTTTCATTTCATAAATTTAGGGGAGGTTTTAGCACTGAATAATTCATAGACTGGGGATTTGGTAAAAAGGAAGCATTCAGCTGTAAACGGTCAGATTGAATATCGCTTTAATAAAAACGTACAAGAAAGTCTGAGAACTAAAAAGAAAAGGGGAGGGAAGAAAATGGCAAATGATGAAACCCAAAGTTTTAAGATCTCAATATGGTGTCAGTCGTGCAGCTACAGTTCGTTGATTTCTCATAGAAAGGACTGGCTCGATACGCGTTTCCCATGTTGACAAGCAATGTGGGGCAGCAGTACAACATCACCTGGAAATTTTCAGCATGTAAGGTTTTGTCATAGTAATTCAGAAAAAGAAAAGAAGAAAAAAACATTCATTTTTACTTGCATGTTTGTAATTCAAGCTCTGAGTTGCGAAAAAGACCCGAAAGGCTTCCTGAGGTAGAAATCTCAAGTGTCAATCGATTGAATCAAAATCCAATATGGCTTCCACATATTTACAGTGTAGATATGACCGCAGAATATATTTGCATCTGCATCTGTTCTTTTCTTAGTTTTTTAGTCAGTCAACATCCAATAGTGCTGGGTCTATCCTCTGTTGTACTGAACATGTTTCCACACTGAATAAATAACATACAGCTCATAATGTTTGACGTCTGCTCTAAGAAAAACTTGCGGCCGTTCCCACTGGTTCTCCGAGTTCCACCTGGATCTCAGCTAAGTTAGCTATGATGATATTTCCAAATCCAAGCTCTGACTTCACAGGTAAATGCAGCATGAAGACACCAGCAGCTTGTTCCCAGTTCAGTGTTGTCAACTTTTCTGAGTATTCCTGAAAGCAGCTTTAGTACCAATACAGGTACTAAAATCTGGTACTTAGAGGACAACTAAGAAGCACACATGCCAGACAATCATATAGCTATAGCTAGGTATAGGCCATTCATAGAGGAAAAGAGGTTGTAACTTTTAGAAAATTTTCAAAATTGATTTGGTGTTTTTTGTTTTTGTTTTGCATCACAAGTTTCAACATTTTTCAGCTGTTTAACGAAGGCTGTCAGCCTATGCAGTTATTTCTGTGTAAAAAAAAAAAAAAAGTGTGCCGTTGTGCAGACTGGATGGTGCAATCCAGACTGTAATTTTTTTCTAAAGGCTTCCCCACTTTCATCGAGTCTCATGAAACATTTGGTGATATTTGTTTTTGCATCATTGCCTTTCCCTCCAAAATGAGTGCCGCCACACACTGACGCTCTCGCTCAAATTAGCCACCTACCAATGCCGAGACAAAGTGAAGCACACACATACTGGGGTAAAACACACTTTGGTTATAGCAGCTTTGTAGTCTGTTTTGCACTAATTACTGTTGGAGAAAATGCACTGTTGCAGGTTTCTGTGAGTTTTCCTTTCTCGTGGGAGTTCTTCCTTTCATTTTCCTGCTTGTTACAGATCCAGCTCAGGTATACCGAACTCATCGCTCTGAGAGATTTCTATACATGAGGTTAAACATCAAGCTTTCCTGAAGACTGCAGCATGTCCAATTAATTACTGTATAGGAAGTGACAGTGTCTGTTTAAGTTACTGCCACTCCGAGTCCATTATAAACAGCTTTTTACTACCTAAATGAGTTCAGTTTGTAGTGAGCACACACACTTCCTCCTTCTATCCTGTTGGCGTCAGCAGACGGATTTTATGTCATCCATTAGCCATGGATGAATTGTTACTGTCTGCCGAGGCTTATGGTTGAGGGGGATGTGTTTGCAGCAACAAAAAATGCTGCATCTGTACACATAGTGTAGGTCCTCGAGGACATCTCCAAAGGAGCGCAGCATATTCTATTCGAACTGCAAGTCAGTTTTGAAGACACATTCTCTACACATTCTCCTGGGGTCCCGCTGTTCGGTGTGTGATCCAGGTTCCTTTGACCGCTTGGACCGATACGCCACAGCGGAGGGACAAGGAAGCTCATTTGAGGTTACCTCAGTGTATGTGCAGGTAATTGTTCAAATGAAGTCCTCCAGTTGAAAATTCTTCAAACTAAAACTATCTGACAGGTAATTTACTATATAGATTTTTTTTTAGTAATTTGGTTTCTCGAGATTTTGTTTGTCCCAACTGTAGCACACAGGCCAACACATGTCTCCAGCTAAAGTATTCTTGTGTATTTCTTTTTTTCTTTACTGAATCAAAGCCATAAACTTCAGGTTGGTTTATTGGGATTTGATGCCCATAAATACAATCCACTAATGCAAGTAATCCACTAAAAAACAGCTCAAACCCAGTTAGTATTGCTGGAATTGTAAAACTGGATTTAGGTGTGAACTTTGGAACTTTGGAACATTGAAACATAAATAGACTTTCATATAAACTGGAGGTCTTCACAAGACCCACATGTCCTGCATGTTTTCTTGCTGCTTTACACCTGATTTAACAAACTTCTGGATCAATTCAAGTAAAGGTAACTGACTGAAGGGCCTTAAATACAAAATGTGAGATGAAATATTGAAAAGCCATTTATAATTTTTCTTCCACATTACAATTACACACTACTAATCAGATAAAATTCCAATAAATACACTGAAGTTTGGGACTGTAACATGATAAATTGTGGAAAAGTTCAGGTGGTGTGAACACTTTTGGTCCTCAATATGCAACTGTCCACAGAGCTGAAGGTAATGTATAAACTGTAGTCTTGCATTTCCCATAGAAAAAGGGACACCCTTTACTACTGCTAACATGGAGAGAAGAAGAATTTTTGTAGAGTTGCATTTTGAAGAATGGCCTTCAGAGAGACAAATGTTACTCCAGCTAAAACAGCTTGAGGTTTTCTAAGGAAGCAGCTCACAAATGAGGTGACCCTTCTCATCTTTTCTTTCATCTTCAAGCCCTCGGAACAAGAATTAATAGCATGTATTTTACATGCAATAACAACAGACAGGCAACTCATTTCATGTTCTCTGTATTCATTTAATGTGCCCTGCAGAACCCATCCGTGAATGAGTCAGGCTTCCAACAGTCGAGTTGTTTCTCCACAAGAAAAACCAACCTTGAATTTAAGTAATTCTATTCCTCCTCTGGAACCGATAAAGAATAACTTCTTAAAATAATTTAGTGTAGTTGCTGCCAGACTGAGCTTGTGCTATCACGATTGAAAAAAAGCCACCATTCAGTGTCTCCTCCTTCATAAAGAATTTCCCTTTAACATAGCTTCTACTTCATAGAGCTAACATATGGAAATCACTGTGTGAAACTGTTTTGCTGGTCAATTTGAATATCTTGAAAACAGGGAGATGGTACAATTTGTTTCTACACATGCCCAGAGTTTGATTCAAGGACTTTTCTGCAATACAAATACCAAATGTATCTGTGTTTACTTGCTTTTTACCATCTTTACAGAACCTTGCAATGACACAGCTTTGACGTCGTTAGATATCAACTGATCAGGAAAAGGGACATTTAGCAAAGAGACACTTAATAGCAGTATTAGAGCTAACTGTTACACTGTTCATACGTGACGACGCAATAACTTCAGTTCAGACAAACCCTTGCTCTTTCAGCTAACTTTTCACTGACGTTCAGTAAAATCTGAACATTTTGATACCTGTTTTGCAAAATAAAGAAAGGTTATTGCAAAGTCACAAAGTAGTGGCATTTTTAGTGCTTGTGGTTAAGATTTAACAAGTTATGTAATATAACTTTGTTTCTAGATTTTATTATAAATTGTGTAAACCTGAGTGAACACGAGACCGTAATCAAAATATTCAAGTCCCTTAAGCTTTTTCACTTTAGTCATGTTAAACACAAACCTCTGTATTTCTTAGGAAGCGTAACTGTATTTTGTATTATCAAAATAGAAAATCACAAAGCTCAAATATCACAAAAAAAAACCTATTTGTTCTTTGTGAAAATAAACATTTATAGTATAGGTTTGAAAATTGCTGTATTGATGTAATATTTTTTCCTTGCAGATATGGTGTAAACGCAGCAATAGTTTTTATGACGCACCTAAAATTAGTATGAAACCAATAAAACAGGAGATATTTTACCTCTGGTCATTTAATATAATAGAAAATGCACTGCTTAAATACATCATGCCCCCCTATATTTGCTACACAGCCATACCTCCTTTATAACAATATAACAAAATATGCATTAAAGATAAAAACATTTATTGTGCTTTAAAAATTTAATAAATACAAACTAAATTATTGATGTGTTTAGAAGCAAAGTTAACTTTAAGACTAAAAGAACAGAAAACAACAAACCAATGTAGATCCCCCTCGCCGCCTGCCATGCCGGCCTCTTAGCAGGGTGGCTCTGCTTTGTTTAATTTTTGATTTTTTAGCTTCATGGCTTCAGAGCCTTGAGAGTAAATAAGTAGGTTTAAACACAAAACCATACAAACAGAAGTTTAAAATGGGCTTTCTTTTAAAAGTTTTGGAAAGCAAAAAAGGCAAGAAAATCAAATAAAAGGATTAAGTTAATTAAATGAGCTTAATCTATCTGTTTAAAACCAATCAAAAGTTTAAAACATCAATCACTCTCATGAATGAGTTGAAATTTAAGAAAAGCTGCTCACTGAGGCAAAACCTCAGCGAACATCAATTAAAACGTCTTTGCGGCGCTTATTATTGACGATCACCTCCCTTCCTTTGAGCTTTTCTCCAGCACCCAGTCAACAACCTACAGAGACAACAAACAAGTCAGCAGGACAGAAACTGTAAAAAGAAAACCAAACCGGCGGATGATGGCGTTACCTGTTTAACGTTACTGCTGGCTGCTTTCTTCATTTCATCATGCAGACCCCGAGATGTCTTCAGATCCTGGGATGATACGAAAGTACAAACTTATTAAAAGAGGAAACATTTATTGAAAGTAATATTCAATAAAGTAAAGGCCAGCAGTCCCAAAACACAGCTTGCTGATGAACATTATTTTAAATTTTTATGAACGTCATTATAGACATTAGTCGTCTTTTTCATTTTCAACATTGTCAGCGTTGGAAACCAAAGACTGAAATTTTCAGTGAAAAAATGTTTTTATTACACCTGGGTCCTTTCAAATACTGCCAAAGAAATCTTAAGATAACACATTTGTTCCAATTTTTCTTTTTTTTATGAATGTTATATTGTCACCATACTAACTGTAACCCATCAAAAGTCAGTTTTAGGGTTAAAAGTCTCTTTTTTTGATGTGGAAAAAAAAACAAAACATTTAATTTCTTCTGCAACATCACAATTTTTGAGAAGTGTGCGATCCAGCTCTGGGAGCATTTTCTCTTTTGCACAAATGCACGGGTAAGAAGCTGGGAGGTCCTTTAATTTCCAAAAAACATTTATTCCCATATATTTAAATTTTTTTCAACATTGTATTACTTTTATAAGAAGGTCATAAGAAACTGCAAGCGAAAAGACAGGAAAAAAAAAAGTAAATCTGAAACTAGCATTGAAATTACATTGTGCCAGACAAAATAAAAAGCGTTAAATAAAAAGTCAACAATGGCACGGTGACGGCATTAATAAGACAAACCTTGAGATAGAACTTGGAGATATCAAACAGTCTTCTGCTGCAGGCCTCGAAGCACTCATGCTCGACAGCGATCCCATGGTGTTTGAGCGTTTTAGCTACAATCTCCTGCAGCATCTGAGGAGGAACACACACTTTCGTATTAGTACATCTGCGAGAACATAAAAAGTAGTTCTGTTTATTCCCCAACCACCTAATGCAAACTCAGTTCACAGAAACTAATTTTAGCATAGTTTTCCTTTTAAAAACAGTGAATGTCAAAGTGTCTTTACTGTAGGGGACTGAAGGGGGGGGTTGACGTTCTTACATAAATACTCGCCTTTTACATTCACAGAGAGAACTTGCAGGTACAAACATGGAAATATTTCACTGGCGGTCCTGACAGGGAAAAAACACATTCCTGAAATAAATGGATCCGCCTTTAATCTTGTCACAGCAACGGTTCTGAGGAAGCGCCATAAATTATTGTGAGAAATCATCAGAGCTTTTCAGTCTCTGGAGGAGTGGAAAAGCAGCGTTTAATCTCTGTCCTGAATAAAGAGAGCGATCATTGTTTCTGAATAGAGCCAACTGTTCTCCTCTTCACTCGGGTTTGGACGATAAGCGTGTTTGCATAGTAATCGGAAATCAAAACGAGTGAAGGTCGGGAGGCGGAGCGCGCGCCGAATGTTGGACCTGTGACTCCATGCGGAGTCCTGCATGGATTTCTGAGTGTGTATCCCATGGATGAGGGACAAAAATCTGTGTGTGGCCGCGGAGGCAGGGAGTAGGTGATTGTAAAGTTTTAAAAACAAGTGAATAAGCCGCAGCATTACAATTCAACCCACACAGTCAAAGTGAATCGTCCAGAATATAAAATATTTATTTTTGCTGGAGCCGTTGCATGGGTCTCATCTGTAGCATCCAGACAGACGGTGGGTTTGATTGTGTGTCCATCTGCCACTAGAACTGGTGGTTAGGTGGGGGTGGAATATTCAGTTGTTTACACTTTTGTAAAAAATAACAATTGATTGTGTAAATACTGTGGAGATATTATGGGAAGGGCAAATCTTAATATTGAAAGATTCAAGATAAAAAAATTAAGATTTCAAGCTGCAGGCTCAGCCTCTGCATGGCAGCAAGTGTCAGCTGTTTAATACTTCAGAAAAGAAAAGTACGCATTACTTATGTCAGCTTATATAGTTCAATAATTTAAAAGATTCCGATGGAGTGAATAAATATATAAATGTATTTATAGTATTTAGAAGAATGTATAAAAGCCTATCTATCATAGTATGGTAAGCATCTGTTGTTGTGACAACAATGACAGAAAAATGAAAAGCAGTAACAGAGTTTTAATGAGCATCAATCCAGCTCAAAAGTTGTATAAAAACTGTTTTTTTTCTTTTACTTTTGAGTTATTTTTCTCACAAAGGACATTTTCCAGTATGTAGATTTTTTTCTATTAAATGGCAGATTGGCATTGTATTTTTCTTTTTGTTAAAAAGATGTTTGCTTTGAGAGAAAAGAAGTGTGTCTCTGTTTCAGTGTGACCACTAATTTCCCCCGCTGCTTTGGCAGAAAATACCTGTGAAAGTAAAGATGTCACTCTGCGCTCTTTGTACTTTTTCTATAAAAAGATATACGTCTTGGTATATATACCTAGACGTATATCTGTCTGGGTCTCGTATATATATGTTAATATGCATAATTGGCACATTAAAATATATATAACATGTTTTTTCTACAGGGTTCAATAGTTTAATTTTTTAAAAACAAGAAAAGGGTGAAAAGGCAAAAATTTACTGAGAATTTATTTTAATCTACACATAGCCAAATACACATTTATGCATACACCCTATAAATGATATTCAGAAGGATGATGAGAAATTTCCAGCTTTTTATAGCTTGGCATAATTGAATTTGTGAAGCTCATATAAAATAGTTAGTCTTCTTGGACTGCCTGGGCTTTTAAACACAGGAACAACCGAGGAACAACAAATAATCTCCCTTAGAGTAAAATAAACTAATTAGGCTGTTTAAGAATGATCCAGGAACCACAAGCAAGGCTCAAGTCTGATAAATGGAAAATACTGGAACATTGGTGTCCTTCTGCTCAGTGAAATAGGTTTTAAATCTGCATGGAGTGAGAACCAGCCCTGTAAGAAGTGTGCTTGGAGTATTGAAGGTCAAGCTTACAAAGCTAAGAAAATTGTACCAAACATAGTTGTGGGAGCATTATGCTGTGGGGGTGATTTGTTGCTACTTGTACATTAAACAATGTAGAATAAGGGGAAGCACAATTTCACCCGAGAAGCTAATAAATTAACTTTGGATAAAGATCCTGAATGAAATCATAAGTGATTTTGTAAAGTATAAATGTCTGTTGACAACAAAAAGAAAATCAGTATGACTTTCAAACTAAGGATTAAGACAAATGTTGGTAAAGGAGCGCCGTCATGTTGCACCAAGGTAAATTAGCCAGCATAACGAAGCATGCATCACTCACCCTGTTGTGTTTCTGGGAGCGAGACTCTTTGGAAGGTTTGTCCTCGGCTTGTCCCTGAATGACCTTCTGCTGTTGGGGTTTCAGTCTCTCTGGATGTGGGAGAATCGCCAAACCTGAAGCGTTAGAGTGGAAGCTTTAATAAAGGCATAAAAGATTTTTCCACTTTGAAACAACAAAACAAATTTAAAAGAGGAGTCGTGACACAGCGGGGTCCCTCGTTTCTTTCAATTCTTTCATGCTCCAAATGTTCTTGTTCTACCTGATGACCGTCTTGTTGCTGAGGAGAGGCTCGTACAGGAAGAGGCGGACTGGGATCTGTTTGCTTGTCGTAGAGACCTGATGGCGGGATGCGTGCCGCTGCTGCCGCTGCTCTGCGAACACAGAGAGTCACTGCTCTCCGACTTCACCAGCCTTGATGAACACAGAGAAGAGCAAACCTTAAATTATGATGTACTTCAAGGATTCGCCTTAGTTTTTACTAAATCAACTCATATTCCACTTCTTCACACAAGAGGAATATAAAGCATCAAACCTTTTGCGAGGATAACCTCCAGCTATGTCAGTCTCCCAGGACCTGCGTTTCAGCTGCGCTACATCGTTGTTCTGCAGTGTCTCTCCATCGGGAACACTTCCTGGTTCTGACATCACAGCAGGTGAGGGGGCAGGGCTGAGGGCAAAGGGGAGAGCAAAGGGCTCCTTGGAGCAGGTCGTCTGTGTCTCGTAGCGAATCAGACGGGACTGGAGGCGCACAAAAGCCTGGTCTCGGTCCAGGGATTGCTGCTTATCCAGGCAGAATCTATGCAAACAGAGACAGCTGGGTCTAAATCGGAACATCATCACATTTAATCCTTTAGAAGTGTCGTGAAAAAGCAATGAGGGTTTTACAGAAACTGACTCTATGCCATGGTAATGAGCTGATGAGGCAATGCTGAAGGGCATCTTGCTGATTGTCCTGGGAGAGAGGTCTGGTGACAACTGGAACATGTTATTACTGTTGAGAGAGAAGATAGGGAGCAGCAGACAGAAAGAGAGACACATGAGTAGGGAGAAAATCAAAAGACCCTCATAATATTTTTATTAAACTCAATTTTCACAAATGATGATGACTATGATGATGCTCTGCCCACCAAAACTTGCTAAAGACCCTGTGAGTAGCACGGCAAACATTTGTATTCAATCCATTTCAATCCTGTATCACCAACTATCTTCAGCAGTCAAGTGGATGAACACAATAAAAACACAAAATAAAGTTTCTCAAATGTTAAAAAAAAATTCAGTTTCCTTCTGAATATCTCAGACAGCTTCACTCTTGGTGCTCAACTTAAAGATGCTTTTCCCCTGACACAAAGTCAGGGGAAAAAACCCATCAGAAACAGAACCCCTAGAACCAACCCTCTGTTTATAGCCAGCGGTTGCAACTCCCCTGTTGGCAAGCCATCAGATGTGAAGTGTTTTAGAAGTTCTTTGGCATCCAGTAAAGCAGATGAGCCCCTCTGGCTGTCTTTAGGGCCCAGGAGGCTTTCAGTGGAGCCGGGACCCAGTAGACCAAGCCTAAGAGACATATAAATATAAGAATGATAAATACCTTTATTCTAAGAATTAAAAGCCCACTCTGGGGAAAACAGACAGAAAATCTTGCTCACCTCTTCCTCTGTCGCTTTCTCTGCAGGTTTTCTATATTGTGGAGGACGCTTCTCTCAGGCCAATCAGATGGTTGTTGGAAGACAGTCTGTAACTCTGTAAGAAAAATAATACAGTTTAGAGCTGGATCTAAAAACTAGACAAAACAAGTCTTAAGTTTAAGGTCAACTTCCAACTCAAGTTTCAATTGCTTGCAGCCTTTAAAAGCTTTTCCTTCGATCTGCCTTTTTTTTTAAACTTCTCCCCACTTGTTTGCTATGTTCCTCAGCCTTCATTATGCTCTTTGTTCACTAATAAATCTCTGAGGCCTTTACAGAACAACTGAATTTACAGAGAACAGATGATTTCTGAAGACAATAAAAAGGTCAAAATATAAATGGACACCACACACAATTCAGATATCCTGGGAAATCGTATATACCTTTCTTTTATCTTTACAATAATAGGCTATTTTGATTCCATCTATCATATAAAACCTCAATAAAGTTTTCTGCTCCACAATGATAAACTGTATGTCGCGGCTCCGTGCTTGGCTTCATTTTAACCTCCATAAACCACAACCTCAGGTGTTCTCTTGGTAAGTCATTCTGCTCTCACCCCAAAAGTTCGAGCATACAGAAGCGCATGACTAGAAAGAGGAGAAGCAGCGAATATCTATCAGTTTTTAGATGCAGATGAAAAATAAATTTCACAGTTCCTTATGAGGAACAAAAGTCCTGCTGTCATAAAGAATCAGTTAAGCATTATACAGGTGGCATTATATATTAGAGGTGAAGAGAAGCCCACAGATCATGAAAGCAGTTTCAGGGAGCAAAAGCTGGTGCATGATAAACAGACAAAGCGACAGTGCCGTAAGCTGAATAATGTAAGCAACAAGAGCTGCGTGATGGATTACAAGAGTTATCTGAACTTTCCCCTGATGCATGTCAACGCGCAGAGCTTTTGGCAGGATGGGAGTCTGAAGGAATGAACACGAGCTAAATATTACCAACTCTGCACATTTTCTTTTGTTTGGACAAGAAGAACGTAGGTAACGGTAAACGGGACAGGCAGTCGATGCTGCTGACAAATGGCTGGAATGAACATCGCATGCACAGCGATAGCCTGAGGGAGAAAAGTGATTTCTGCGTGAAAAGATGACACTTTGCCCTAAAAGTTTATCAGCCCACACCTCCTTTGAACGGAGGGTGAAAAGGGATTTACAGGTAAATAAACAAAGTTGCCCTTTAGACTGCTTGTCTCCACATGCGGTCAGCAGCGCATCAAAGCTGTTCCTGATTTTTTTTTCCAAGTGCTTCTTTCTTTTGTATAATGTTCAGGAGCACTTTATTTATGTGAGTGGCGCAGAATACAGAATGTACAAGACACACAATAATGCGCACTCTTCGGGATATGACTGGATAAATCAGGTAATTGCTCAGCTGCGACAGTTTCTCTTAATGTTATTACACATACTGAGCCTCAACCTCCAAGCAAAGACGATTAAACTATGAAAATAATGATGGACAGTAAAGTGAAAACTCATTTCCAACTGATATTAAAGCATTTATGACATGAAAGCTGCTTGACATCTGTGTCTACAAGCCCTAAAGCTAGAACCGCTGCTACCTTCACCGCACAAATTTAATTCCTTTCAATACGGTTCATTTGCAAATCATAAACCACTGCTTTCTGAAATGGTCACCCAATGAGGTTACATGTTGTGAAGACTGATGTGCTAAACAATGAGCAGCCATAAGTAATGCATCTTTTCTAGCAAGCAGTGGGTTGAACTTTCTGTTTTCTAGTGGAAAACAACAGACTAAAGAAACTGAATTCTAATGAAGGCGATAAATCATATTCAGAGAAGAATAGCTTTTATTGAACGTTATCATAAAACATTTTCTTTGTTAAACTGGGAAAACCGTTGAAGGCAATCAGACAAAGTGAAAAACAGCATTTAAACAGTGGAATAAAAAAGGAGAAAATATGTGCAGCTTTGAATTCTGTGTCAAAAAGCAAAATGTTGAGCTGCCTTGTTTGTAGGATTTTCTTAGTTCATACCTGTATGTTCTGCAGGCTGCTCATTTGTCAGATATTTTTCAGTGACTGGAAGAGTGGAGTCAAACATCTTGAGGTACTGCTCCCTGGCAAGATTCAATATGGCCTTCAAGTCATTGACGGGCACCAAACACGGAGCTGAAGTTTCTTCTTTCTGCCCTGGTTATAAATAAACAGAGGCAGGATTTTGTTTTGGCAATATGTTAAGTTTTGTGTGGAATTCACTCCAAAACTTGGACTTGTGTGATTTCCACTTTGGTTTAAATGTGACATACACAACTGAGCCTTTTCCAAAGCCAGTATGCCTTTCATAAATTGGTATGACAATCCTTTAGAAAGAATATGTAACACATTTATCTGGAAGAAATTATCTAGTCACTGAAATGAACCAATGACATTTCTTTGGTGGCTGGTTTTCAGGGGCTACCTGAAAACCAGTCACCAAAGAAATGTCATCGGTGCACTCCTAATATATTCTCCCTCTTTGTTGTAACATAAAAGTAAAACCTTCTCTCACACAGTGTGACGTTGCCTCTGTTTCTAGCAGGCTCAAAAAAACATTTCAATCCTATTGATAATAGTTTTGTCAAAGAAAATGTAATCACCTGGTTGGTATAAGATTACTAAAACTAAAAAAAGAAAAAAAAAACTGATCAATCCATCAACATTAAAAAGGTAGGTCATTCAAAAGGGTTAGAATTGAACTGCATTTTAATCAAAACATTTTTTTGGTTCTATTAAATTGCAAAATGTAGGCTTTTCTGTGATTTTTGAAGTTTCATGGTTAAAAGAGAGCGGGTGAAACATAAAGAGAATGATAAATGAAGCTCTTGAAACACACAAGCCTCAGCTTGTACAGTGATCACACACACATTGCAGAGACATGCCAAAGAGCACAAAAGGGCTCATCAATCATTGGGAGCACACTTAACTCACAAGCTTCATAATAATCAGATGAACTTCCGAGGAAACTGCTGAACTTCTGCAGCTGGCCCACGTGCTATTTTACTATTTGATGCCATGTCTAAAAAAATAAAAGTCTAGTAATGTCAGAAAGTTACACTCTGCTCATGGCTTTTTAAAAATGTTCTACAATAGTTTTATACAAATATCACCCAACAAACACAATCTCTTGTAATTGTAACTGAATAAAATATATGTTCAGTTTTTCCTTCTTAATTTATCATGTTCTGTTTCACTTACTAAGATATTCTTTGAGAACCAGCGCCTGAACCTGGGCCACCTTTCTTTCCCTCCTCAGTAGAGAATCTCCTTGAAGACACAACAAAGGATGGAGGAAGTTGTCATCGGCCTCTCCTGATCAAAGAGAGAAAAAGGGATGAAATAATAACTGTGGATTACTCTTTTCGTTGTTAACATAATTAAAAAGGTAAATTTTATTTTGTTAGATGTTGTCTGGATTTAGGTCTTTGACAGTAAATGTTTAAGACCATACAGAGAAGAATTAAGGATAAATTAGGCATAACATTATGACCTCTGATCAATAATAGGCTCCATCTGAATGTGTGATATGCCATCTGACAACAGGATTTTAGTAACAGATCTTTTACGTTTCACGTGTGGCCTCCGTGGATTGATCCAATATATTCAGCTGATTGTATTTAAGTCTGATGAATTTGGAGGTCAATCTCACGCTTCAAACTTACGCTTGCACTGGTTCTACTTTCAGAATCAGTGAAATGTTTTAAAATAATTAAGCCCAGGAGCAAAATTTCTATGGAGCTTGTTCTTCATTCACATTCTGACCATTTCAGTGCTTAGCCACTTTGGACTCCAGGTGTTTGGTTTAACTATTATGTTTTGATTTTCAATGTGAGAACAAAGAGGCCAAATTTTATCCCATTTGTGAAAATTTTGTCAAATGGATAAAAAAATAAAAAATAGCAGATATTAACAGATTCCGAGAAAGCTAAACCTGTAAATGGTGAATCGGCCACAAGTCATTGCAAACATGGAGCAGTACACAGAAGTGACTTAAGAATCAGCTTTTCCAAACAACAAAATGCTTCTTTAATATAAAGGGCACCTTCTGTGGCTTCCCTTTGCATTTTAAAGCTTTTTAACTACAAAAGACATGTCTTCAAGGTTGCATAAAATGTTAGCAACAGCAACAACCCACTAGAGGAAACCTCACAGCAGGGCTGAAATCTCATGTAAAGCCAAAGAGAAAGACGGGAAACTTTCAGCCAAAGGACTTTCTTACATCTCCACTCCTCTAGATACTTATAACCAAACTCAGCCATCCATCTACAACAACTCCATTTCTTCTAAGTGTCACTCATCTGCTTCTCACTCCCACAAATTTTCTCTGAATAAATCTTATTTGCCCCTTTTCCCTATTTTACTGTCAAAATGACAAAAATAATAATAGCAAACGCAACTAACTTGTGCTTTGAGAGACAAGAGGAGGAGAAAGGAGACAGAAAAATGGGGACATGCGGGTTTAATAAAGTGAACCCGTGGAGTCCAACAGTATTAAAGTTCAGTTTACTGCAATATGGACAAGAGGGTGAGCCATGACAACTATAAGCTTCAACCATGGTGCTTCTATTTTAATAAAGTTTAGGAGTTTGGAACAACACATTAAACAAATAGCTGATATTCATTTATCTGCAAACATTGATAAAATACCCATATATGAGAACAGTGCAACTCTTCAGCACAAGAAGATTCGAAGTACCAGCAAGAGAAGAAAAAATATATATCGGTTTTTCTCAATGATCAGTGGCAAAATCTTTATTTTGTAACAGCTATTAAACCCTTCTTCTAATTGCAAGTTTCAGCAAGTAGACTGGAAATATACCTTTAGTGAAGCAAAAGTTCTTGTGGCTGGCTCACCTCTTTACCATCACTGTAATCTTTATTCACATTTAGTAATGCCAACTGCCTGAATCATGCAATATTTTTTTAACAGGAAAGGCTAAAGGTTGCTAATTGCTCACTCACTAAATATAGACTTTAATTTGAAATAAAATTAAAATCATGTTTAACTGCAGAGCTGTTTCACAGAGACTGATCTCGCTCTCACACAAAATCATGATCATTATAATCCATCATGACAAAAAGTCGCCTTTATTCTCCCGTAGAGTTACAACAAAAGCAAAATTTCAAATAATAGAAAGAAATATATGTCACAAATTGAGACAGTACAATAAGTTTAAAACTAGCTTGTAAAACTGGGACATATTTGATTTGTCCACTTAATCCTCTTGAAGCCTATTAAGGGAGAATCCTATATTTTAATGGTGTAAGCCATTAAAAAGCAAAACAATGACAAGATATATGTAATTAAAACACAGCAATAAAAAAAGAGAACAAGAACAACAGGTAGAGATCATATTGACTCTTTCAACCAGCCAGATTAGTATTTAAAAATTCAAAGAGAGCATAAAGAGTCATTACATCAATTTATAGCTCTGTTGCAAGATATTTCATGATTGGTGAATGATAAAAAAAAAAAAAAACTGCTTCTTCCTGCTCTGAACAACAGGGGAGGTTTTGTTCCTTTTGGGGTTTTTTGAGAATTTTTTTGCAATAAACCTTTCAATGTTAAAACAGCAAGGATTTTTTTATCTGTAAAACAGAAAAAAAAATGTTATTATTCAGCCACAAGATATGTGACTGGTGCAACTCAACATAGTTTTTATAGAAAGGTGCTGAGTGAGGACATAATGTGCTGCATTTAGAGAGTAGCAATTGTACAAGTGGATGTGAATGGATGAATGAGAAACTAGCAAGGAAGGTCTTAATGGAATCAAGGATTAAAATGAAACACATGAACAGGGACCATTACCTCATTCAACAACTTGACCAACAAACCATCTGCTCAACTAATGAACTCAAATGATTTACAACCATTCTGAAACAAATAAGGTACATTTACAAAATATGTTATTAGACCTGTCTACACAGCTGATCTAACCCAATGGGACACAGTTTGTTCCCCAGGTACAAAGGCTCAGTGCATAAAATAAAAATAAATACAAAGGTCAAGATTTCAGTAAATATTCTTGACACAAAAACACAGCAGTCTTATCATATAAAATACCTGATGAGAAAGGCTTCTCCCTTAGCAAGCTGGAGAGGGTTGCCATGGCAGCAGCTCCGTTAAGTTGATTGTGTGAATGCATCAACCTGACCGTGCAGGTACCAGAGCCGACATCGTCCGCTCCCTGGACCAACAGGAAGTAGACTGCGCTTTCACCTTTCACCTCAACATCGGGCACTGCAGGACAAGATGATATATAGTGAATCAAAAAATGTTTCAGTTTTCTTCTTGGTTCGGTTTGTTTCACATAGCAATGCCTGCTTTAGAGGAGCTCATTTTCAATTCTTGAATAGGTCATTTCTACTTTTGTACTCTTAATAATAAATCGATTTATTTGAGGATCTAAGCACACAAAATACATCATCCTTGTTGTTCAATTTGCTGTATAAGTAATTTACTCAAAGGGAAGGTAATCATTTATTTCATACCTTTCTCTGTTTTTCAATGCACCCAGCATTTTTGTTTTATTTTCCATAATAATTCATTATATCACCCTTGGAGGCTTCATTCTTAACAAAGTACCTCAATAATTCAGTGCAGATGCAGTTGATTTCAGAAGATGACAGTCCGCATCTCAGGGGCTGCAAGTAATTTATTTCACAGCTTAAAATGCAAAGTCATACCAAGAAAGGACTTTGGTGTGCGGGATAAACACTCTTTCCAGCGCTGGGAGCTTAGTTGACTGGCTGGAGGCTGTGTGATCGGTGTAATCATACAGGATAGGCTGAACAAAGCTCCAACCTGGAAGAAAGACCAAATAAACATGAGATCGCCCAAAACCTCAGTCCTACAAAGAGTATGAAAAACATGTCTCCTCGATTAAATCCTGCTATTCACGAAAAGTTTGTGACAGATTTGACTGGAATTAATTAAGGTACAAGGTAGGATATTAAAATATTTGAAAAGATCTTATATAAGTAAACCGCACAGACAGTGATCAGTACCTTTCCACGGAGAGCGCTCAGCTGGTCCAAGAGAAGCTTAGCTTTCACCGACTTCCCAGACAGGCCTCTTTTTATTTGTTGTAAAGGAACATTGCTAAATCCAGGCAACAGAAAACAGACTTACTCACACCTAACTGTGACTTATTTTAATAAGAGGTATTTAATAGGAATCGCATTTGACTTGTTCTTCAATAACCCTATTGTATTTTTTGAATTGCAACCATTCTAAAGCACAACATGGAGGAAAAATGTTTTTTTTTATGCGTTTCTGTTCAAGCTAATTTGACCTTACTGACCTTTACCATAAACGCATATTGAAATTAAAAGTTATCAAATTTCCTTTTATTCTTAAATGCACAGATGCACATAAGCAGATGGATTAGGAAGGATACAACTCAAAGTGAATGTTGGACATCAGAAAGGTGGGCAGTTCTGACAGATCAACCACCTGAACCAAGTCTAAAACTGGAGCATAATAATGGAAAACCTGCAGAACCAAAGCAGATAGAGGATGAGTGAGAGCAAAATATGTTTAAAAACAAATCTTCATACAAGAACATTTTTTTAAAACAAAATACACACATCTAAAAAGAGGAATAAAACCACAGCACATAGTACACAGAACAGTGACAAGGTAGTGCATTCAACTCAGTTCAATTCAACTTGCCAAGGCCTCGTACCGTCAGCTGTGCCTCAATTCACCCTGAACCTCCAGCAGGAGGTGGGTCTCCAGGACAAATCACCATGAGCTCAGTTATAGAAAAATGGAAGCAGAAATACTTCTTCCCCCAGTATAGCTAACAAACCTGTATGTGAGTGTTTGTGTGCAGGTTATTTTAAAAGTCATTTTCCCCGTGGTGCTGAGGTATGATTGTTGTCATCGCTCTTTTATTTTTGTTTTTATGCCAAAACAATCTTTGCCATCTGTTTCTCTGAACAGGAGTCTGATGAGATCACAGACACATGCTTTCTGTTTTAATCCCTACGGACAAGTAAATAGGCTGCGCACACACAACAAACACCTAGACACATCTAAACTTTGGAGCCGTTTTAAAAATTAGGACAGAGACACACAAACATGCTATCACAACAGGGAACCAATAAAATAAACATGCAAATTAATACTTACAAAATTTCCCTGAAAAACACTCGCATCGAAGTAATGTTTACTGATTGTCTAATTAATAAAATAGAAAGATCACCTCTCTATGCCCATAAAAAAAAGCCAAACATTACTTTGAGTTCTTTGGGAAAACTCCTCTTTACTCGGTTTTATTGTTGGTACTTATTAATCTTGATAGTGAGCCCATTACTGCACTGTTCTAGGCATTGTAATGCAATTGTTACAAAACACATTGTGATACAAAAACAAACTGTACAAGCAAATCTCTTTATGAGAGCATATTGACCACAAACAAACATTAGGAACATTAGGAACAGAACAGTCATAAACTACAGCAGTAATGGTTCTGCTTAATGAGTCTAACTATGTCTGCAGAGACTTGAACAAGGACAGAAGCAACACCTGGGAGGCAGACACAGTTCATGTCTAAGATGGTGGCTGCTGCCGTGGAAAACTGAAAGGTGGATAAATGTTGAGCTTCAATGAGAAGCAAAAATGTTTATGTATTTCTCGTTTTGTAACAAGTAAAACAAACAAGTGCATAGTAGCGTACAGCTTTTTATGTTAGGACTGGACATTCCACAGATCTGGCATTTATCTATGGTGAAGGTAAGTCTGTACATATTTGGCAATTGTTAAAATATTATGGCAAGTGCAGCACAATAATGTTTTTTTTTCATAAATAATACTAGCTGGATTCAGCCTCAGTGTTTCAAAGATGAGAAATCACCATAATCACTTAAATTAACATTATAAATGCAATAAAATTATTTACTCGCTTTTAATATTCAAAACAAAAACATCGGAGGAAAATTGTCAAAACGAGAAAACCTGACAGAGTGAAAATAGGTGAAGAAAAAAGAAAAATGTCCCTCTTCAGACGCCATGGACAACAGAACTGAATATATATAATAAAAATGTAATTTTCTAGCTGAACGGTCAAGGAAGAAAAGAGGTCAGCACTTCTTTTTTTTTGTTTGATAAAATCGATTTGCTTCAATTGCCTGAATGTTACAAGTTCCGCTATGCGATTAAAGGCCAGCAAGAAAGTGACCATTTTGACCTCATCTCCTTGCAGCCATCAGAAACCATTAGGAGAGAAGAGTGCATAGTCTCCATTCTAATAAACACCTGGGAGGTACGGCAAGACCAAATGGGGTTTCTAAGAACAGACAGAACAAGAATACAATCGCTCTGCTCCTCCATTTAACCAAAACCTTCCCCAGGCTTCAGATTAACACACAAGGACAGCAGCAACAAAAAAAGACTATATGGCATAAATATATATTCATGAAAATAAAGCTCAAAGTAAGTTCAGGACTTAATGCATTTTTAATCTAAAGCAAAAAATACAATCATCAGCGTTAAAAAGGTCAGGGATACAAAAATTTGGTTTTGAGAGACTTACCTCAGAGTTTACTTTGTCACTCATGGTGGGAGCCTGAAAGAGACCGGAGTCTACTATCCGATGCGCAGGACAGCGCAGGGAAAAGCCATCAAAGCGAAGTTCTGATACATACTGAGGCGAACACACACGGGAAGGAAGAAATATTAAATTACTAACAAGCTCTCTTAATAAGCACAGCGGCCGGTGGAAATTAATTGCTGTTCTACACAAACCACATAAACATAATCCTTTATTGTTATTGACTTTCCTCTGAATTGTCTTTTTAGCAAGTGCTTGTTACGCAGCATTTGCTGGAAAAAAGCCATGTTATGCAACTACCAAACAGCAGTTTGTTACAGATACCAAGACCAGTTCATACAGAAATACGCGCTGCAGCACAAGGCTCTGGAGCGGTGTTGTTCCTTTTGAAACAAGCTTTCTTTAGAGACCTCTTCTATGTTCTCCTCTCTCCAACTGTGTACCTTTTAGCAAGTGGCAGCTGGAGCCCACTTACTTCTGAAGGCAGCAACTCAGAAAAGGTCACTTTAGTGAAGGAGAAGCAGGATGCTTGCCTCAGCAGACTCAGCTGAGGCAAAAAAAAAAGAAAAAATCCTCTCCTGCATGCAATGGAGTAACCAGCACCATGGGATATGGATGAATCATCTATAGCAATTTAAACCCTGACAAGTGAGCGGTACTGCTGATGTTACAATCTTGTCCAAAATCCTGGTAATTATCAGCAATGTTACATTGACACTAGATCATAAACATTTTTGAAAGACAATCAGAGTGGACACTAAAGACTCAAAGGTGTCCCTCCATCCTCCAACGCACATATTTCATAATTTCTTAAAGTTTCGATAGTAAACAAGCCCTTTCCACAGAGACCTATTGCCAACAACAAGCTGGGGTAAAAAGAGACATCAGAGTGCCAGGCGTTCCAGATCGCTCTTAGATGTTTATTTACCCAGGCCTTGACTTCTCAAAGTCTTTATGGCTGTAAATATCCCCTATCAACAGTGGAGTCAAATTGGGATCCTTGCCATTTTGTAGCTGAATTGTGTTTACGTCACCATGACTTAGTGGAAGATTCATTTGACAAATTTTTTCATCAGACCTTGGTTCATGAAACTCAATAGTCCTTTAAAAAATCCTTTAAAAAAACTGATATAAGTAAACTTTTAAAAAAGTTCAGAGTTTCATTATACACATTGCTCATTTATTTGTTTAAAATTTAACAAGTGAGGACCATTATTGAACTCCAAGGACCAAGAACTCTGCCAAGCATTTCAGATCTGTGACTTATTATGTAACTATCACAAGGCTGTTGGAGGTGTGAAAACAAACCTTGAGCTCTCTTCTCCCAGAAGATTGTGCTACGACCTTTAAATACTAAAAAGTCCTCTTATAAGAACAAAGTAGTGCTTTATTTTTCTTTTTTAGAAAAAAAGCTACATACAGTAAATTTCTGAGTAATTGACAGATTGAAAAAAACCAAAGAAACCAATGAAGTTCAGACAAAATACCACAGGAGAAAGGAATATTCCAACGTCTGTAACCTCATAGATCAGTGAGTTAATAAGGACTCAGTCACAATGCCAGTGTAGACTTTGTAATCATGAGAAAATTTAATTTTCACTTAATCTTCATTCACTTGAAAGCTACACAGAGGTGTATTGATATGTTGACACCTATTATCTTAGTTTTGGAAGATTGGTGATTGGCCGACTGTGAAGCTGCTCTTATCCACTGATCTACCTCAAGAGAGCCCTAAAAAAAAAAAAAATCAATCATTCTCCCCTGCTGTCCAGTTAGAGAGGTTTGACTGATAAAGCAACCCATCAGGTCAGATCTGCAGTTAACAATAGTCACCCTCCCCCGTTGCCAACTTGGCGACTTTCTTGCTTTATTTAGCGACATCTCAGACAAAAAATATTTGTATTAGTCAAAATCAAAATTGACAGGTCAAGCTTTTTTTTTTTTTAAATGAAGTAAATAAATACATTTTGAAAATCAGTAACTTGCCAAAAGCCTGCAATAAGCAAACTCCTAGTTTTTAAATATGTTGATTAGGGGTGTTATTGCAAACACAAAAAAATGTTTTGATATACAAACATTTTCGTGTACAAGTGAACCTGGAGGGGACAGGTGGAATCCTTGTGACACAGAGTTTGGTTGCATTTCTGCTGCTGTCAAGGCTGGTTAAATGCTCCAGGCAGTTGGTGTGCAAGCTATGTACTTTATCTCTTCTGCTAAAAAACATTTAGTTTATCCTGTTAATTTTTTATACAGTAGATTTTAAAAAAACAAAGAGAAAAAAAAAAACTTGAGCTACAAGTCCTAAAGACACAGCTTGCAGACAAAAACAGCTCCTAAACATTTTGTGCCTCAATGAAGCAAAAATGTCCATTCCCATAAGCTTTGTTTACCGTGATCCTCAGTGAGTAATTCTGCGAGGCTGCATTGGCCCGGGCCAGGCAGTCAGTACTGCCAGAGTAGAGTTGGCAACACTAAGATATTTCCCATGACCTACCGATGACCTGCAGTAATTACTCCATTCATTCAACAGCAGTAAAAGACCACTGGACCCCCATCGAAGAGACAAAAAAGTGTAAAAATCTGCTCTCTTCGCTGGTCTGTCTACATGAATAATTTGATACTAATGGATACATAAACAAAAATGGAAGCATAATTCAAACCTAGAAACTGGAATTTGTCTTATAGAGTATAGAGAGATGCCATTTCATTAAGACCGGACGTGACAAATATACGTTTACAGAGCAAATTACTTGCAAATTACACATTTAAAATAAATTCGATCTCATTCAAATATTAGCAGAAATATCCGTCCGCAAAATGGATAGATAGTTAGTTGTGTTGTGTTTTCGATTAAGTTCAATGGCTTCTTTCTGAAGTTAAAATTTATTTTAAAAACTGAAACTTTTAGGTGTGACAAAAAAGAAGAAACATTTAAAAAAAAATCATTTACCATAGTGTGGATTCAAACCAAGACTAAGAAATCTTTGAGCTTGTATTCTTCAGGTTTATGAAAATAACTTTAGGATTTAGTGTGCCTTTACGCACGTTTTTCAAAAAGTCCATATAATCCTGTGTGTGAAAAACTACCAACATAAAATTGCTGAGATCCAGAAAAACCTCTTCCTCTTCTTTAATGAGACGTCCCTTTTGGGTACCACCACCAGAGGTCTGAATCACTACCACCCAACTCTGCTGTTCATCATAGTTATGTTGCTTTGGCCAAACAACAGTAAAGTTCCCTTAAATTCCAAAAACAAGAGAAATGTGAAATAAATTATGTACAAAGAGACATTTCTTTACTGTTTAATGTTACTAATCGTATTTGTCTCTTAAAACTATGAGAGGAAAAAGTTTTGTTATGCTCTGTGTATGTTTTTGGATCCATATTATTCCACTATTACGGATTTATTTTTGGAAGACCTGTAAATGAAATGATTATGAAGTATTTGTAGTTAACAGTCATTAAAAGTTTCAAAGAGACAATTATATAGAAACAACAGTTTTCTTTTGAGACTATTTAAAAATGAATCAGTCGGTCAGGTTTTCTCTTCAGTTCTGTTTCTTCTTTATGTCATTGATTTCAATCATCTCTACATACTCCTCCCAAAGATACATGGTTGTTTTCTGACAAACTGAATAGAAAAGTCCCAGTCCTCACCTTCTTTTCTCTGATAACCAGGCCTCCTCTCCACAGTTCCCTGTAGTCGATAAGGTTGAACAGATCAGCAGGCTCCAGTAGTCCTGCACTCAGAGAGGATGCTACCTTTTCCCACCTGGAAGAAAGGAAGCAAAGCTTCTGCATTAAGTTGAGTTTTATATCTCAAAGCCTAATTCAGGTTCAGATTCAAACAGGCATGGTTATTTTTTTTGAAGGTTTGAATTGGCATTTTGTCAACGTGATCATATTTATACATATATTGAACATACTTTTGATCAAACAATTTACTACGCTTGCTCATTTTTACTCATCTAACTCCCCCTAGTGGTGAATCTGAGACAATTTATTTGCAAGAAACCAATTTGTAAATCAACATTTTTATATACATAGATTTGCACATTCTGTACTGGTCTAAGGTCTTTGTCACTTACAATGGGTAATCTCATGTTTTGTGTAATTGCTGCCTTCTCACCCACTAATGTTCTGTGTGACAATATTGATCTTTGCAGCCTGCCAGCAGGCCATGTGTTTCAGGGCTCCCAGCAGAGGCAGCAGGTCTTTAGCTGGAGGGGACTGCTCAGCTGAGGCCAGCAGCAGAACATCCAGCAAGGCTTTCCCTAAGAAAGAGTTAAATGACAGTCAAAAAGATGTCTCCTTTTCAAAAGGTAACTTTTATTACAAATATTATCAAGTAATATAACAACTGTAAAAAACAAAACACAGACTGAAGCACAGCCCAGCCTCAAAAACCAAGGAAGCTTTCTTAGTAGCATGAATCTTGGATCTTGTTCTTCCTATTTTTAATCATATCAATAACCATAGGTGTAGATCAGAGGATAGACAGACCATCAATCTGAAAGCTTATATACATATCATTACATACATATTATAATGATAGAGAAACTCTAAACAATAGTGTGAACAAAGAAAACTAAAAAAAACACAAGAAGGAGGGGCACTGTGTTCTTATTTACCTGGCGGAGGCAGCTTATCTGTCAGCTGATGAAGTCCGTCTGCAGCCTCTTCTAACAACCTGATTGACAAAGATGAATTACTTTGTAAACATACTGTGCTTTTTTTATATTTTTTACAAAAACACACAAAATTTATGATACTTTTGTCTCGGGTAAGCGTAAGTTTAATACACAGATTTGTTTTATGAATTAGTTATAAATATAAACTTAAGGAGAAGGTATAAGTACAGAAAATAAAATCAGCACTTACTCTGCCAGAGGTGGCAGGTCGTCTGCTGCCTCCTGGTTACTAAGAGAGGTCAGACATTCTTCGGGTGTAGTAAGGTTCACCTCTTCAGAGTCTGTTCTCTGATGGTTTGTTCCCAACTCTTCCCAATCAGAGTTGCAAAACTATAAAACGGGTTAAAGATATTTAAAGATGAAACTGATATTTGAAAGCCTGAGTCAATCCTCTAAATCACAAAATAAACGTGTGATTCGTTCCCTAGTTAAACACAAGCATGGTAATTTGTAAGACAGAAAAATATCACCAAAACTGTTTTGAATGTTCTGATTTTCTCACTTGTGTCGCTCCTCGGCACACCTGAACAGCAAAGTACCACCGTGGAGTTGCTGGGCTGCCACTAAGGGAACAAGCTGAGGAAACAAGAGAGATTGTGATGTAAACACAGAACATGCATAAAGCAGTCAGTCACATTTATCAATTGTTTTACCTGGAAACTCAGAAATCCCTTTTGCTGACTCCTGAGCTGAAATCTCCAAGAGTCTTTTATAGATATTATTTAGTGCCTCCAGACCTGGAAACAGTCACAAAATGCTGGAAAGTTTCTTCAAACTAAAATACTAATTTATTTGACACAGTCCTGCTTAAACAACTTTCCTTATTAGCACAGAGCATACTACTAATTATAAAAATATTATCCAGTGTTTTGTAAATAAATTTCTGATATTCAGATGCAGAAAAACAATATTGCACTACATTTTTTCTTTACTTCTTAGTAAAAAAGCTCAAGTTGAAGAGCACATTCCTTCCCATCTCTACTCTTCCTGTAACAGAAGTGTCAAAAAAGCATAACTGACTTGTGAAAAACCGCTTTAACGTTGTCTTAAATTGCAGGATTTATTACTATTCCATCCACAATACACTTCTTAATTTACCATACTGTGTCTTAAAACTACTGCCCATTAATAAAACACTGGACAAAACATGATAGTTAGCTGGAATCCAACCACAGATTTATAGCGTCACAATGTTGATGAAAACCAACAGACGATCATTTTTGAAGTGTACGAACTCATCAAACAGTCGACAGTTGGTTAGCGAAACAACGTTCAACAACGCCGACTTTATAGCTATATATAGTCTGTTAGAAACTAAAACTTACACTTATGATCGCCAGTCAAGTGGTCATCGCCTTGGCAAAAGGATAAAACCAAAACGTAGCGGTCCATGTCTACGTTTAAAACTGTAGTTTCATTGCTGTGTTAGCAAACTTTCCCGCAATGTCAAATTTCCCACCGGTTCTTCTTCTTCGATTAGAAATGACGTCAAAATAGAAAATTGTCCTCCTGCGCCCTCTATCGGGCAGGATTTGACTGACACTGTATGTTAGTGAAGGTCGGGGGAATGGTTCAAAACTTTTCATTTTATGCGTACAAACGCAAACAACTATTCATGACAGTGAATGAATATTAATCTGTGTGACATTCTCATTTAATTGTATTAAAGTTTTATGACAAACTGCAGTACACCTTTTCTAACCTGTTATACAACGTATGAAATACAATTTTATTTCTCTCCATTAAATAAAACCAAAGATTTGCATTTCAACCAGAAATACTGCTTGTTTATTTACAATTCACTAAATGCAAGAATAGTATTATTTCAAAGCTTTGTAAGCTATCGATCAGTTAGTCTGAGTTAAATGGAGGTACACCTGGGGGTACCTCCATTTAAGGTAACACCTCATACACGCTGTTTCTGACATTTCTGACAATTCTGATTTCATTTAATTTCAACAGATTTTTCTTGAAATTAGTACTATTCAGACATAGTCTTAATGACTACACAGCGAGGGTGAAGTGATGTCTCCAAAGCAATGATAAAAGTCAGATCACAATTGACAAATGAATTCAACTTAATGTTTAAGAGTAGTCATTACTAAGCTCTAATCTCAGTCACACACAAAAAATGTGGAAGCGAGCAAAGGGACCTATTAACGTGACCCTTGTTACTCCTGACCAAGTCAGTTATTTTAGCAAACAGCAATGGTAAAATCCCAGAATGATAACATAGGCCAGTTTTGAACAAATAAAACCACTAGTGAATTATTCTAATGTAGAAACATGAAATCTGTTTAGAAATTTACTTTGTACAACATATGTCTCAAATGATGCAACGATGCACTGCAATTATTTTCATGAGTTCCTTTCTATCAGTGAAAAAAAGAAGGAAAATGAACAGTCTTGACAATAAAAAGCATTGATTCATTAAATTTATTGCAATTTGCTACATGGTACTGAAATTTGAACACCACTAGTTGATTTCCACAGTTTGCTCCTGGATGTAAACAATGTAGTGGTGCGTGTTTTCTCCCTGAGTGAGGACCGTTAGAGCATCCAGGCCATGTCCATCCTCCACCACCATCACCTGGTTGCCACCGAGTCCCTCATCTGCGTTCACCACCATCAGCTGGTTGCTGCAATCACCCACTTCATGATCCTGAGAAACCTGCACCTTTACCAATAGCTTAAGGTCAATGCAGATTCAAAGAACCAATCAGTTTCAGATAAAGTGCAGTGATTATATTTACCTGCTGTACGACAGTCACTGTGCCTGGAGCCATTGCTACTACGGAGGCTACTGCACTGTGAGTCTCTGAGCTCAGTTCAGCAATTTGCTGGACGTTACCTGAGAAAATGTATTCAAGTATTGTCATCACTGAAGAAGAACATCAGTTTCACACAATAAGTAAATGAATATTTGCTGAAGTAGTCATTTTCTTTCACATGTTGTTCTGGAACAATCATACCTTGAATATTTCTACTTGAATTCTATGTCCCAGCTGAATAAATATATTTCCACACCATCGCGTTTCCACCTCACATTTCATGTAGAGCATGAAAGTTACATTTTGGTCTCATCTGACCAGAGCACTTTGAGAATTTTGCAAAGTTCTCAAAAAAGAATCAGACATGAGCAACACTATTTGTGCAGAAAACAGCAGAAAAAGTGAATGCTGCAAAAACAGTTTCACAAACTCAGCTAGTAAACTAATTATGATTATATATAAAATTATAAACTAATACTTTTATCATGCTTACTGTTGTCCTCCAGGACTGCTAAAGGTGCTTCTGTCAGGTGTTCTTCATTCCCGACAGACACATACTGAGCTTCTGTCTCCTCAGCCACCTGCACAGGCACACAACAAAAGACCGAATGAAAAGCACTGAACCTGACAAACACAAGACTTACTTTATAGTTATATCACACGGCACCTGCACATTTTTCACATATTATTTATTTTTCTTTCCAAATTGATTCAAATGTACAGCCAGGAGGTAAGGAAGGACATATGGTGGGAAAACAAATGCTTATATGCAGTCATATTGCACAGATGGATGGACGGACGGATGGACAGATTGACAGACAGACAGAAATCTGTTGTTATTTTGTTTCTTGTATATTTGCATGTTAGTTACCTCCCAGTTACTCTCGACCACTTTCAAATTGTGTTTGGTCTTCAAGTGACGGGTCAGCTCCCACTTTGTTCCATAAACAAACTCACACTTCGGGCACTTCATCCCACCTAGCACAGGAGAACAGCAAGACATGAGGGTAGGATGACCACATTTTTATGCACAAATTTTACACAAACTTCTAGTTTATCATGGTATTCCTTTAGTTTTCTGTCTAGTATATATTCTATTCTACTACTGTTATTAAATGGAACTTCAGAGATTGTGACAGATGTGCTGACAGAGTTTGAGGTAAGGACCTTGCTGTTTCAGGGTTTCTGAGTTTGGCAGTCCTGGTCCAGCATTCTCATAAGTTTCTTCGGGGTGCTTGATGTTGAAGTGTCGCTTCAAAGCACCAGCAATATTGCATGAGTAATGGCAGTGAGCACAACGAAATGGCTGAAAATACAAATTCATATTACAGTATCAGATTAGATTGCCAGTGACAGTGGGTTTAGGCATTTTAGTCTGTGTGCAAAATCTATGAGTTCAAACTACACTTTGTTTTACAAAAACAGATGTTATGTACATTATATTCTGTGGTTCGTTTAAAATAATAGAACTACAAACTGAGGTTGCATTTATTAAATGTGTATTCCTACCTTAAACTTAGCATGTTGCTCCATGTGTCTGAGCAAGGAAGGTTTAAAAACAGACGTAAAAGGACACTCCGAACACTGAAACCTCTTACCTGAACGGACACAGAATGTTTTCCCCTTCGATTACCACTATTTTTTTTACACTTCTGCTAATCTATGCCAATAACTTTGCCATATATTGCCAACCTTCATCTGTGTGGTTCAGTCGGTGACTTTTCAGCGTGAGCTTAGATTTGAACTTTTTACCACAGTGATCACAGAGATGATGCTTCTCACTGCTGTGTCGGTTCATGTGAGTCTTCAGGTTACTCCGATTGCAGCTCGAGTAGCTGCACACACTGCAGACGTAGGGCTTCAAACCTAACCAGATTGACACACACACAGGATTCACACTTCAGAATCACACATATTAACAATATTTTCTTCATTGTGCATCAACAAAATACTAATAGGTTATTCCCTGTTATTCCCTTTCATGTGCATAACAGGTTACTCGCTTTTATGAATATGAAGGCAGCATGTTTGTATAAAAGGGGCCTTGTATTGAAATCCATAAAGATGTTAGGTGATGGACCAACATATTTAAATATTTGCTTGAGAATAAAAATCATTTTAAAAAAGCTATGAATTTATATTTCAAATTACTAACAATATTATATTCCATTAAATTCAAATTAAATACATTGAAATTTACTATGATATCAAACAAAGATAAAGAGATAGGAATGTTTTTAAAAGGTACTATTTTGTATGGCCTCCCTATGTAAACAGAGTGGCATTTTGCTGTCGTAAAATAGTCAAATTTTGGCTTTTCTTTGACAATAGAATTATTTTTTCGGCTTGTTTGCAACTGCAGCTATGACTGCTGATGAGTGTCAAAAACACCCCCGAACCAGCAGAAACCTGAAAGCTGCAAATCTGATTAAAAACATGCCAGCATCCTGTGAGACCTTCTTTAACACCTGTGCTGGCTATCTGTCTGCAGGCTTCTGCCGTTACTCTGCCTGAAAGCAGCTGCAACTTCCAGGTAAACAGCTCTTCAAAGTAAGGGGGAGTGTGGCAGAGGCTGCGAAGAACATGTGGTGGTAAAATTAACAAGCAAAACAAACAGCTGCTCAAGTTGAGATACGTAAACAATCTGAATCACTTCACGGGAAGAGAAACACAGGAGGGTAAAAAACATGGTGCAATATGTCGAACAGACAAATAAACTGTTGCAAAGACCCCCTAGATTACATCTGGTCATTCGCCTCAGCAACATAAGTGTGTGTTTTTAACTTTCTCTTCCTTCCCTGTGGAGGGCAGACAGGCACAAACAGAAACAGATGGAAGCTCAGCTGACAAAGTAAGGATACAATCTCCAAGTACTGTGAATGTTATTGTTGCAGACCTCAGCAGCGATAGCGTATTTCATTTGAGTTTCCAGCACACCTTGATGGGCCCAGACGTGTTGCTGAAAGTCACTGCTGTTCCTCAGGAAGTAGGAGTCACAGTAAGGGCACTTCTCTGCACGCTGCACCATGGGTACTTTACCTCCAACAGGTATTTTATCTGTCAAACACACATTAACAAAAAACTGAATCATAAAACCACTGGCTGGCTCCTCCACAATGAAAATGAGGAAAATCTTACAAGTAGTCAACTTTTTCAAAAGAAACATTTAAATGCATTTCCAAAATGAAGGCATCATCGAATACCGATTGTGTTATTTGTTCTATTTTACTAGGAATACATTTGTTATTCTTACCTGGGTGGGATGATTTAAGGTGGTGCTTTAGTCTGTGTTGTGGGTAAGTGCGTTGACAGATGGGACACACAGCACAGCTTTCCTGTAAACAAGCACAACATGGCATCAGGAGAAATAAACAAGAGCCTTGCAAAACTTTCCATACCTCTTCAACTTTTTCACATATTCATTGTATTTTTTTTTTATCTTTTGTGATAAATTATGTTGAAATTCTAACTCTGAAAACATAGTGTGTACTTATATACACCCTGCTCAGGTCAGCTCAGTCAGATTGAATGGAGAGCATCTGCAAACATCAGCTTTAATGTCTTCCCATAGATTCTCAATAGGATTTACATCTGAACTTTTACTGGCCCGTTCAAAGAACATATTTTGGTCCTACCGTATATACAACTAAATGAGTGATTGGAGTCGTTGTCATGCTGGAAGTTG